TATTATTTTTATAAGGAGAGATGGTATTACACTTCATTTAAAAAATAGCAACATGTGAAAACCCAAGTATTGAGTATGTTTAAACATTCCATCATGCTGTTTTCATATAAGCCAAGTGAGTTTGCTAATATTAATAAGTCAATTTTACATTTAAAGAAAATGAGATGTAATAGGATATAAATTGAGTATGGCCAAGAGCTCATAAGTAACAGCCAGACATAGGGTTCTAAATTCTTAATCCATATGCTGTTTATTTGCATGTGACCCATTATTTTACCTACCTTTCCATAAACTTACTGATTTTGGTGGTTAAACATAATTTTCAACTTGAATTTTTTTAACCAAAGTAAGTATAATCTACATTTACACATACACATAAATGCAAGTAACTAAGTGAAAGTGATATCTAAATCTGGATGAAGATTTTAAACTTACATTACCTACTCTGTATGGAATATTACAGTAGTGTCCATGCCATGTATAGCATATAGATGCAAATACCATTTTTAGCATTTAGTGACCTTAAAATATAGCTCCAGCAGTAAAGTGGAAAAGCTGTAGCATTGACATTCTTTAAAACCCCATCAGGAAACATGACTTCCAATGGCACATTTTCAGGAATATTGGATGGTTGTAATTCATTGTTTCCTGAGTTCTTACCAGATACTGTGCAATCCTACCACTTTGGCTTTTAGTAAAGAGTGTACATTTAGTTCTCCATTATAAATAAATGGGGAAATGTATCACTATAAACAAAGAACATGATAAAACATTATAATCATTCTTTATTACAGGTTCTTAGAACAACTGACTTAAGTATGTGGACAATGTTTTTTTCTTACCTGGCTGCCTTTACGGTAGGACTTAGCCTGGTGGTCCAATCAATAGCAAACTCGGGACCAGCAGTTAGCGTAATGGCTATGTTGCTGGACTCCCACGTAGTCGACCGCAGTTCGAGTCCCGGACGCAGCGACTTAAACTCACGCTGGGCGCGTGTGCATGCGTGCCCAAGATCCCAAAAGGAGAATGGAGGAGAAGAGATTGCGGCGTGACCATCCCCCCTGGGGGGTGATTTCTCACTTTCTATCTCTCTGTCTCTCTCTGTCTTTCTGGTGAGCGCAAGTGCCCTATAGCAAAAAAAAAAAATAGCAAACTTACCAAAATTCTGGAAGCTGCATGAACAATAGCAGGTTTAGATCCCCAGCTTGGTCTGAACATACATAGCATATGTGTGTGTGTGCAAGATCCTGACAAGCTGGAGGGCTGAGTGAAGGAGATTCGAATGTGACAAGACACTATCAGGGGTGCTTCTCCTTTTTTCTCTCTTCCTGTGCATGCACTCTCTTTCATGAATAAACTACATTAAAAAAATAAATAAATAAACTGGAACTCAGCACTTTGTTATATTCCTAAAACTATAACCCAATTCTGCAATGCAGTTGTGCAGATTTAAAAAAAAAATAATGAAATGCATTTAGACTTCTCAATACTAAGCAAACTTAAATGTATTACTAGATGTCTCATCTACAAGTACAATTCCTCTCTTACTACTTCATTGTCAGTTTCCCGATCCTTTCTCCCTTTGGTTCCCAGACCTCATGTCATACATCCTCTCAAATGCCTTCTATAAAAAGATATATTTCTTCTATAAGAAAAAGAAAGCGAGAAGAAAGAAAGAGAGGCACCACCAATAGAGTCTTCCCACGACAATCCACCCCCAGCCTCAGCTAACCAGAATCATGAGCGTGCATACTTACCTGGCATGTGTAGGCAGACCTTTGGAGGCATACCTAGGACCTACCCCCAACACCTGGCCTCTGAATCATGGAGCTTGTGTTACCACTGTGCCACAGGAACTGGCCTCAAATCCCTAATTTTGTCTTGGACCATTTAGTTATGCCTTCACTTTATACTCCATTGAACCATGCACATAGTAAGCAGTTAGATGAAACCATCACCTTTGGAAAGCAGCTGAGTCACCATTTATTACTACATAAACTCATCACATAGGCTAACACTCCTCATGGTACATGAATGAGCACAGTACTCTTATGAAAGCTTGTTCCAGAGGGGCCAGCCACGTGTTATGGTAGTTAAAGTGACTGGATCCCACATGACTGACTTCACTGTTCAAGTCCTGGACCTGGCGCCTTGAAAAACATGCTGAGTGTGTGTATGTGTGCATGCATGCCCAAAATCTCAAGAGGAGAATGGAGGATCAAGGGAGGAGGAAAGGATCATGGCATATACCTTGTGTATGTGTGGAGGTGACTTCTCACCTTCCCTCTCTCTCTGTCTGCCTCCAGTGAGTTCAGTCACCTAGAACAATACAAACACACACACAAAACCTAGATATGAGAGGGAAGAATATGTCTGCACCTGAAAATAATACCATGGGACCAGCAGTTAGCATAATGGCTATGTCTCTGGACTCCCACGTAGTCGACCGTGGTTCGTGTCGTGTGCGTGTGCATGTGTGCCCAAGATCCCAAGAGGAGAATGGAGGAGAAGGCATTGCGGCATGGCCATCCCCCCTGGGGGGTGATTTCCTGCTTTCTGTCTCTCTGCCTCTCTCTGTCTGTCTGGCGAGCGCACGCGCCCTAAAGCAAAAACCTCTCAAAAAAAAAATACCATGTCCAAATTAATATTCATTCATTTTGATATGAAAGTGGACTTTGAATACCTGTTTTGTGCAAAGTACTAAGTTAAGACCATAGTGATGTAAACAAAAGTAAAAAAAGAAAGTCTCTTTTCTCAAGAAGCTTATAATTGTACATTAGAGAAAATATGCAAATAATTAGAGATATTTGGAATGAAATTAGGACAACCAAAATCTATTGACACACTAAGTAGGGGGATCCACCAGTTATGATTGGCTGTCACTCAAGAAATGATACATGAATTTATTTTGGAAGAAATATAAAATATTGATAGATAGAAATCGGAGTACCCAGGGAAAAGAAAAAGTATTCAAGGATAAAGTAATGACATAGAAAAGATACAGAAGTAAGAATATTTTTCCATATACATGAAACAAAAAGACATCTATGTGTCTGGCATCTAGGATGACTCAAGAAATGAACTTAAACACATGACTAAGATAACATGGCATGAAAAGATCATAGAGGTCCTTGAACCATAAAAAATAATAATACTGATTGGGGAAAACATAGAAAAGATATTGAATGATGAAGTGGGAGATTAATGTCTCTGTACTGACTGACATGCATGGCATTCCCTTTTGAAAAAGCAATGTAATACACTGTAAAGTTATATGTAATCCAATGTATTATAAAGAAAATTATGATGATAATAAAAAAATAACAATTTTGAAACTCACCATATAAAGGATGTGAGCTATCGGTTTTTACTTAGAAGGGAAGTGACGTCAGGCCGGGTAGAGTCTCTTCACAGTCTAAATGATGTATAGCTATTTAATGTATGAATAATAATAAAATATATATTTAAAAAGTAAAAAAGAAATTTAAACATGCATTTAAAAATACCTATTAATACCGATTTAATGGCCACAGTAAACTATACAGTCCCAGCAAGCTGCTCCTTTATAGTATGTTCACTTTACTCACTGAGGTTTATGTCTAAAGTCAGACATGCATTCATAGATATATATCTCTCTATATATCTACATAGATATATAGAGAGATATGTAACTGCTGTGTTTGCTATTGAAAGTATTTAAATTAATTATGATCTTTAGTGGAATCAATAAAATGTGGAAAAAGGCAAAAAAAAAAGGAAAAGGGAAGTGACATGATACCCTTTTGTCCCATTTTTGTTTTAATTCACACCTGCCATTTCATTTGTTGGTACCCTCTCACAACCCTTCCAACTTTAACGTGGTTAAGTCTATAAATTAGCTTGATTCACCATGTCTGGAATGTCTTTCATCTCTTCTGTTAAGTTTTTCAGGGTCTCCTTTTGCTTTGGTAAGTTATGCATTCCTCCCAGCTTCCTTCCTTGTGCTCAGACTAAATGTCTTTTTATGACTTCTGCATAATGATCATCTCTTTTCTTACCTATCTCCCTCACTTGACTTGAACTCATTGAAATTTAGAAACCATTAGTTGACTGAACGATCAGAAATGTATCTTGGTAAGAAATTTGTCTCACTAAAGAAGGCATGCTAACTAGACAATAGAATAAAAGAGTAATAGCTAGATGATCGCTGTGATGGGGGATCATGACTAGATAAAATAAGTAAGGGAACAAGAAATGACAAGGAAACATCCAAGAGGATTAGATGGAACAGAGGCATGAGGACTGGTTTTCAGCTTACCTTTAATAACCTGGAAAAAGATTGTACATTGTCAGGACCAGCAGTAGGTGTAATGGCTACGTCACTGGACTCCCACGTAGTCGACCGTGGTTTGAGTCCCAGACCTGGTGGCTTAAACTCACTCTGGGTGCGTGTGTGCCTGCGTGCCCAAGATCCCAAGAGGAGAATGGAAGAGAAGGGATTGCGGCATGGCCATTGTCACTGGGAGGGAAGGGGTGAGGGGGGGAAGGGGAGATTATTGTCTTTCTGGTGAGTGCACACACCCTTTAGCAAAAAGAAAAAAAAAAGCAGATTGAAAGATTGTACATTATCCTATATGGAGATGTTTTATTGAACAAAAATACAAGCTTTCTTTTTAATGTATTTGGTATGTCTATTTATTGGGCATCCGTTTTGTTTTTTATAGATATCTAGAAACCATAACCATTCACCTTTAAAACAGAAATTTGGACTACTATATTAACCAAAAAAAAAAAAAAAAAAAAAAATGAAAGTTATCCTCAAGCACATTTGATCTGTTGTACTGTAAGAGTCTGTAACAGTGAGGGGAAAAAAATCATTTAATCCTGATTCTTAGAAACAAGTAGTGTCTAATATTTCTCACTAATCTTATGATCTGGTTGTTCAAAAATTCAAGTTCTGTTTGAATCTTACTTAGCTCATTCCCAATTAATGCTATAATTTCTCTCTTGCTTCTCTACAGTACGCTGTCTGGCTAGTCCTCTGGGTTACGTGGAACGTGTTTGTTATCTGCTTCTACTTGGAGGCTGGGGACCTCTCAAAGGTAATTTACTATCTGATTTGCCTGAGTCATCAGTAGTGTGTTAACAAGTCTCATTCTATGAAAGGTGGAATCCCACCCTGTGGTTGCCACTGACATGTACTTTGCATGATGGTAAATTTAAGATACCTTGATTTATATCTTTGCAGTTCTGTCATCAAAATATGCTTGGTGTCTCACAAGAATGTGCTTTTATTTTCTTTTAAGAAACAAAATTCAAATATTATTCTAGTGACTGTGCTACCAATACACAGCAGTACATTTTTCTTAGAGGTAAAAATCTTGAAGATTTTTAAAATCACTTAGTTTGCTTATTATCTGCTAAATATTTCCTGATTAGATTCAAGGGGCAATGTAATAACTCAAACAACTAATGGTTTTTAGGTGAATAAAATGAGTATATCAAGATATAATTTATCACAGAGATGAATAAACACTTTTTTTCTAAAATAATCTAGGAAAGACTGAAAGACTTAAGATACTTGCTTTTTCATTTAGATTCCTTTGTTCTCGGTGTGTGTTGTTATTACATTTTTAATAGAAATACCTTTACTATTGAAATACTATAGCTTTTAGATCTCTAAAAAACCTGCATCCTTCTTCATTTGGAATCAATTAAGAGCAGATAAGTCAAATGAGTTAATCCATTAAAGTAGTAGTAAATCTTGACTCTTGAGAGTTTCAAATTTGTATTTCTTCATAGTAACTTTAAAAGTCAAATTATAAAAGTTCTTTTGTTTACTCCATGTTTTATCAGAAGGTCTTTGAAAAGATTTTGATACATTTTTTCTAAGTCCAGCATTGATCAGATGTTCTAAAAGGTTAAAAGAGCTTTGCAAAGAAATCCCCAGCAACTACCTTTGCAAGGCTATATGATTTGAAGAGAACGTGAAGGATAGGATGCTAATATGCATTTACAATCTAACATACAAGAGTTTCACAAGGTACTTTGATTATTTTGGGTGATGTTCATTTATTGTTTAACTATGATATGTTGCTTTATATCAAATAGAGGTAATCTTTTTGTTGTTGTTCATGACAAAAGATGAAGGATAAAATAATAGGGTGAGCCAGCCTGTAGCTCAGTGATGAACAAGGTTGTGTTCCACATGGTCAGTCATAGTTCTAATCCCAGAACTGGTTGTCATGTGTGTGTGCGTGCCTAAAATCCTGCCAGGAAGGAAAAATAGAGAAAAAAGGATTGTGGCATAACCATACTCCAATGGGAGATATTTTCTCTTTCTCTCTCTGGTGAGCACACAGGCCTTAAGGTACTGGATTACCACATGGCTGACTATGGTTTGAATCTGGATGTGGCAATTTGAAAACCATACCTAGCACGTGTTCATTCATGCCTGAAATCCCCATAGGAGAAGGAAGAAGGGATTACAACATGGCCATACCCTCTGGAGGGTGTTTCTCATTTTCTCTCGCTCTCTGTCTCTTTCTCTCTCCAGTGAGTTCAAATGTCCTATGGCAAAAAATAAGTATATTAAATAAGCTAAAAGAGAAGATAACCTTATGGCATAGGAGGGAACCAAAGCTTCTACAGTGTGTGATTTTCTGATCAGGTTTTGTGCAAGTCCTCTTTGTGGCCTGAAAAATCTGCCTTGATGATGGTATTTTTGTGATTCTTGCAAGGCATCACTTCCACAGACTTGGTAGTAGACAGTCCTTTTAGCAAGGAACCGTGACCAATGGAAAGAAATTGTTCAGGTGGCTTTAGGAGGAACACAGACAGGATTGCTGCTTAAATCTCACATTTGCCTGTGTGTGAGAAAAGCAGACATGCCTTGCAAAGGACTTGAATTTCTTACCCAATTTATACATCTCTGTTGCTCCATAATCCACTTTCTTCAAAGAAATCCTGCACTAGAATGACTTCTAATGATATTTTCAATTTTAAATAATCACCTTAAACATTGTTAGGCAGGTATTCAGGCTGCTTAAAATGATCCAGCAGATCAGAGTTTGTTTAATATAAAAGGGGAGAGAGAGAGAGAGAGAGTTTCAAAGCAGGCTGTCTGCACAGATGTTCTGTAATTGTGCTCATTGCTCCATGTGATGACTGCGGACACAGAATAAAGTGTGTGATCTTATGACCTCTGACCTGGGCTTGAAACAGCAGTGAGGTCACATCCTAAAACATTATAGTTCGGGAGAATTGCAAGCCAAAGGTCAAAGAATTCTTCTAGTGCACATAGGGCACTGTCCCTCGGCAGTGAAGCAGTTAATATTTCTGTTTCTTTTCATCTTATAAACCAAGGCTAGGCTCAGCAGAGCACATAAAAATTTAATAATTTCCTTTTAACAAATAATCTAAAGGAAAACCATAAAGGGCAATGTTATATAGTTATCTGTGTTGCATTTCTCCTCCCTTTCCTGCTTAAAGGGTTTAAGAAAGGTGTATTTATACCATTTAATTCTTTATTTGTTGCAACTGCCTCACATTCTTTGAGTAACACAGTATCAGAAGGAAGTAATTGTGATCGAAAAAGACCCAGGTAGATGAAAACTGCAGAATGGGACTCTGGAGACTGCAGATAATACTTAGATTATTGAATATAACCCATTGTTTTTCTCAACCCACCAAAAATATAAAATGGTTTGATAATGTCTACCATATGAATAGATAAGTTAGAAATAGGAAGAAATACAGGAAATAGAATTAGGGGAAAATTCTGTGGTTTCTATGTAGGTGAAAGGAGGGTACTTGTTTCATAAAATAGTCTGTAAATAGATGATTATTATATAATGAATGTTGACAAGAAGTAATAAAGTCAGTGGAATATATTAAGGCAAACTTCAGTTACCATTTTAGAACTTAGATATTTGATCTTCAGTTTTCTTTGTACACATAGTTGTACTGTTAATATTCATGGAAAATTGTGTGAAAATTCAACCTTGTTATTAAATTTTTAATAATATATTTTAATTATTATCCCTATAAGATTTAAGAAAAATAAAGCTATCATACAGACAAAATACTTCTTAAAAACATTATCAGTTAAATTAACAAAATAATGGAATTATAATACAGTACATAATATGAAAGCAAGAAATAAGCATACACATTTCATAATAATAATTTCTGCATCATTTTATTAATGGGTTAGAGACTAGAGTTGAAACTCAATATCTTAAAGTATCCTATAGTGCATTACATCCTGGGTTATTTTAATAGATTTCTCGTTAAGGAAACCAAGATGAAATTAGTCTGTAGCCTAAAGTATTTGCTAACTTGCTGGCAATTGTCTTTAATCATTAAGTGTGACTTGTACTATTGGATTAATAGTTTTGAGAATCCCTCATGAATATAGTCTTATTATTTTGTTAAATCACTTTTGGTAGTTGTGATTCTCTTGATCATATATCAAACAGATAAAACTGGGAACCAATACCAGTTATCAGCTGAGTTGAGTTATTTTGAAAAATGAGAGAAATGCTATTTGTTCTGCAGTAATTTTTAACTTCAAAGTGCATAGAATTAGAAGGAGAAAACACATATAATATGGTAATCATCTATTCAGTTTGTCACCTGAGAAAAATGAGAAAAATGTTATAGTAATACCTGGGTTGACCTCTGGTTATCTGCGGAAATCTATATTTTATTGTATGTGATAAAATTGTAAATTACTTAGGCTGGAAATATATTCTTATGTGCTTTTTCATATCACTGGTGTAAGATCTTATTTTCTAATTTTTGTAAAACACAGAGTTCCATCATCAAATGATGTACCTATCTTTAGAAATAAAGCATAAAATAAAGCAATAAATACTCACAAATAAGGCAATACATTTATAGAGAATGTAGGAAAAACCAAGGGGTTATTTTTACACTTAAAACAACTCAGTTTGAGGAGCCAGCAAGTGGCACAGTGGTTAAGGTGCTGGACTCTCACATGGTTGACTGAAGTTTGAGCCTTGGTCCCAGCAGCTTGAAACTCCCACTGGGCAAGTGTGTATGCATGCCCAAAATCCCGAGAGGAGAATAGAGAAGGGATTGTGGTGTAGCTATTCCTCTAGGAGGTGATTTCTCAGAGTCTCTGCCTCTCTCCGTGAGCACAAATACCCTACAGGAAAATTTTTCTCTACAAACAAACAAAAAAAAACTTAGTTCATTTTTATTTAACCCCTTAAGAGTAGGGATGCAGGCGTATATATATATATATATATATATATATATAT